TAAAAAAAATAACAATACTCTTATTCTGAGAGTATTTCTTATACTCTGCAATCCTGTATATAATAGAGCAGATATGGGGGGTTATTTAGAAATCAATTTATACACAAATTAATATTACTTCTTGATATAGAAAAGCAATGAGAAACTTCACAGGTTTTAGTATTTTACACACACACATTCCCCAAGAACTTTCAGGCATTTTTAGGCTTTTGCTTCCCCTTTTTAGGGGGACCTCACCTGACCTCACTCCAGAAAAATTCTCTGCTGGTCCCCTCTAAATTATATCAGTTTGTCCCTCCAAAATGCCACCTCTCTCCCCCCTTTACATCACATCCCATGTTCCTACAGAAGAGTTGTGTCCCCTCTGAATTACCCCTGGTTGTCATCTAAAAATGTCACCTCTCTCCCCTCTAAGTTATCCCAGGTTTTCTGTCAAAAATGCTGCCTCTGATTTCTCTGAGGGAGCAGAATTTCTCTCAGAAAGGCTCATTTTCCATCTCTAAATTACCCTGATTTTCTTTCACCTAGACTACCTCCACATTTCTGTCAAAAATGTCACAAGTTTCCTTAGCTGTGCCCTAGAGGTTACCTTAATTTAATCCCCAAAATGTCCCCAAAGAGATGACAACCTCAAACACAAAGCAAAGACTCTGAAGTGGTTTATGAAGGCACCAGTTTGACCTACTCCATTGTCCTTATTCTTTGGAGTGACTTCTCCAACCAAGCTCTGAAGCTCACAAGCCCAAACTGTCCCCAACACGGCTCAGGGCAGCCCCTGCCACCAACTCCTGCTCCAGACAGTGCTCACCCATATCTCTAATCCCAAACTCCTAACTCCAAACCCTCACCCAGAGAAGTTGTGGAGTTCCCACCCTTGGAGATACTTGAAAACCCTCATGAGCTGAATCCAAACCTTAGCTCTTGATTCTACCTCCCTAGTTCTCCCATTTTTCCATCAAAGGCAACAGCGCCAAGATGTTAATTGTATATATTTTTTTAATCTTAACTGTACAAAGAAAGCCAGAAAACAATTGTCTCCCCTTTACAGAGATCTCCTCGTCCCCTCCCTAGTCTCCCCTCCCTCAGCTTCTGATAAAGGCACATTGGATTGGTCTCACAAAGGACACACTGTCTGCAGAGCCAAACCCACTGAAATCCTTCATTTGCAGAACTGAAACTGCAAGAACTAAACACACATCTGCACCTTAGCCTGGTGGCAGCATCATGCAGATTTTTTTTCTCTGCTACTCTCTCTCTCATCTGTTTCTCTCATCGCTGCATCTTAGCTGGGAAAGGTTTCAGCATCCTCAGCAATGACAGCTAAGGAAGCACCATATTTCTTTAATACCTGTGGAACAATAAACTGATTTTACAAATATTCAGGACTGTTGTTGAGAATGTACTGTGTATGTGCTCTTCTCCTTTTTGTGCATCCACAAGAGTCGGCAGAGCTTGTAGAGCAGCTTGGTGCTCACTGCTGGCAGCTACTGCTGGTACTGATTCCTTTGGTACATAGAATCATAAAATCAGAGAATTTTAGGGGTTGGAATGGAGCTCAGAGACCCTCCAGCCCCAACCCCCTGCCCTGGACAGGGACATCTCCCACCAGAGCAGGTTGCTCAAGGCTCATCCAACCTGGAATGAAACACTGCCAGGGTTGGGGCAGCCACAGCCTCCCTGGGCAACCTGTGCCAGTGTCTCACCACCCTCACAGCAAAAACTTCTGCCTAAGAACTAAAAATAGTGTTTTTTCTGTACATCAGGTGATAATAACAATGCAGTTTTACATGTAACTGACCCACACAACTGTAGGAGACTGAGGACTTGCAGCAACAGAGTCTCAGAAAAAAACTTCTGCCTTCCTCAGTCTGAAGGGACAGCAGAGCCCAACAACATCTGCTCTGGAGAATGGAGCAATATTTGCTGTCACCAGGTTGTGATTCCTTGCAGAAGCTCCAGACATGCACATGCCAGTGGGACCTGGAGCAATAAGCTCACCTGGCAAAATGTTGGTGCCTTCTCTAAACATGATCCCTGACAATACTTGCTATACCTCCCTTGGCTTAAGTGAAGGCCTAGGCCCTTTGCTCAGGATATATTCCCTGGTGGGTGACCCTGGTGACACAAAGTGCACACCAAAGCCTCTCTGTCACTCCCCTCCTCAGCTTGACAGGTGAGAGGAAATATAACCAAAGCTCATGAATTGGGATAAGGCTGGGGAAAGGTCACTCACTGATTACCATCACAGGCAAAACTGACCTGATGTGGAGAAACGAATTGAAATGATTACTAATTAAAAACAGAGTAGGATAATGAGAAGTAAAACAAATCTTAACAACATCTTTCCCTTGCCCCTTCCTCCTTTCCAGGCTTAACTTTATTTCTCTCTGCCTCCTTCCCACCAGCAGTGCGAGGAGATGGGAATGGGGGTTACAGTCAGTCCATGCCACAGCTTCCCCCTCAGGAGAGGTCCTTGCCCCAGCATAGGCTCCTTCCCACAGGAGACAGTCCTGCATCAGCTTCTCCAACTGAGTCCTTCCCACTGGCTATGGTTGGTTCTTTACAAGCTGCTCCTGTGTGGGTCCCTTCCATGGGGTCATTATTTCAGGGACTTCTCTTGTGTGGGTCCTTCCATGGGATGAGTCCTTCAGGGACTGCTCCTGCATGTGTCCTTCCATGGGGTCATTCCTTCAGGAACAGGCTGCTCCAGCACAAGTTCCCCCCAGGGACAAGCTTCCCATGGGGTCACAACCTCCTTCAGACATTCACCTACTCCACGTGGGGTTCTTCCATGGGCTGCAGGTGGATCACTTCTCCCCTGTGGACCTCCAAGGGCTGCAGGAGGACAGCTTGGAGCACCTCCTCCCCCTCATTCTTTGCTGACTTTGGTGTCTGCAGAGCTGTTCCTCTCACATATTCTCACTCCTCTCTTCTCTGGCAGCAATTGCTTCTGCCCCAAATTTTTTATCCCTTCTTGTATCCATTATCTGCCATGGCTGATGGGCTCAGCCTTGGCCAGCAGCAGGTCCATTCTGGAGCCACCAGCATTGGCTCTGTCAAGCACAGGGGAAGCTTCCAGCAGCTTCTCAAACCTTGCCATGCAAACCCAGTGCACACACGAACACCACAGAAGCTTAAATATAAGCAAGGATAAGTCCCATCTAAAGTCCTGTTACAGCTCTGCAAGTTCTTCCTCCTGCACAGGAAAAGCATGCCAGCTATGGCATAGGCACTCTTCTGAGCTTCTCCTGCATTCTTCTTTCCTTCTGGATCTCTCCAGAGTTAAAGGAGCTTCTGGTTGTGACCTCATGTAATGTCAGTGACCAACACTGCTATTTTCTATCCATCTTGTACACTCTTCCCATCGTGTACCAAGACAGAGACAGCACTGATCTAGAGTATCAACTTGACTCCAGAATCCACAGGAACAGCAGAATTCACAAGTCACTTTGCTGAGTTGTTTCTTTTGGTTTAGGTTGTCCCCTCAAGAACAAAAAGAAAAACCAATAAAGGATGTGTGAAGCAACAATAACAGGATCATCTTCACATACTTGGTTTATCATAGAATCACAAGATGGTTTATCATGGTTTATCATAGAATCACAAGATGGTTTGGGTTGGAAGGGGCCTCAAAGATCATATCATTCCAATCCCTGCCATAGGCAGAGCTGCCACTCACTAGATCAGGTTGCTCCAAGCCCCATCAAATGTGGCCTTGAACACTTCCATGGTTGGGACAGCCACAGCTTCTCTGGGCATTTGTTAGTTGTGTGAGAGAATAAGTAGGACAACGAGAGTGTAAAAGATTTGATCTCTCAGGTAATTCTTCTGCCTTGGGAAACATGTTTTCGGTGGTTGCAGAAGCTGCTCCAAACTGTTGACTTGTTTGGTAAAGAGTTCTTTGATCACAGAAATCTCAAAGAACTGCACTGTGACAGTGCAGCTGGGGACAGGTTTGTCACTATCAGACTGATTTTTCTGTCAGTTTTTTAAATCTTATGACTAAAGCTACTTCTGCAGAGATGACCAAATCCAAGCACATCTGGTATGGACAACCATGCTGGTGTTTATGATCCAATACCATGACAAGAGCAGTGCAAGTTCCATTCTTTTGATAGTTCTCTACATTGATAACAGCCTGAAGCTCTTCTTTTGTACAGGTCAGAAATCCTTCATGCTCCATCACCCAGTTCTGCTAGTGCTCTTCACAAACTTGGTGTTACTTTCAGTCCACGGCAAAGTGACAATCTGGGACAGCAAATAAGGAGGAAATTTGTGCCCTGAAACTTGGTCTTTAAATTCTAGGAAGTCAAGTCAAATACTGTCACCCAGATCCAGTTCTTCTGGTCCTGCCCTGCATTTATGTGACTGAGCTTCAATATTCGTACAGGAACAACCACTCAGACACACAAATATAGCAGTGTCTTTCTGTTCCTACTTCCATACTCATGTTTCTGGAAATTGTGTGTTAAAAACTGATGTCTCTCCTTCCCGGTGTTTCTCCACCCTTCTGGCTCTTGGCACAGCATTTTCTCCCAGTTTGATTTACACACTGTGCCGACGGTTGTTGATCATGGCCACGATGTGTGACAAGTCCAAACTTTTCATCATAACCTCCATGAACTCGTCATCTTTCTTTGCTCCCTCCACAAATTCCTCCAGAGAAAGTTCACCTGTGTCAGACACAAACAAAAGGCATCAGAATCAGGTTTAGGTTGGGTATTAGGAAGAGATTTTTTACAGAGAGAGTGCTCAGGCATTGGAATGTGCTGCCCAGGGAGGTGGTGGATTCACCATCCCTGGAGGTTTTTAAGATGAGACTGGATGTGGCACTTAGTGCCATGGTCTAGTGACCACGGTAGGGTTGGACTTGATGGTCTTGGAGGTCTTTTCCAACCTGATTGAGTCTATGATTCTGTGATTCTAAAGCACTGAGAGGTCTCAGACAGTCCCCTTAGGCTTTGATGAAACTTCCCTGGTATCCAGGCAGGCAACACCAGCTTCCTTGTTTCCCCACACAAGGGAGAGAGTACGTGAGAAAGAACAGGAGATGTGTGTAGCTAAGGAGTGGGATCATAGCTTCCTATAAACAAGGCTGGATTAGCCACCTCCTTTTGGCCCAACCTGTCACAGTCCTAACCTGCCCCACACTTGCAGGTTTTCATGGATAAAGGAAGTGACAGAAGGAGGCTGTGACAAGCAGAAAGAGGTTTTCTATCCTAGGCCAAAAAGTACTTGTGCAGGGAATAACAACAGAGCATGTCAGAAGGTAATGAGCACCTGAAGTAGCAAGGAAAGAAATATCTCTCAGGGACGTACAGTGGCTTTGATCAACTTTTGACAGTGCTAGCTGTGCTGCCTGCAACAGACCCAGGGAAAAAATTCTGAATTTCAGCTTTAAATTCCAGTTCTTTCTTTCCCTGCTGAAATATTTAGGAGCAGCTGGGGACATTTGTTAATATTTCCCACTTGTAACTGACATAAGCTATGCAGAAACATACAAAAAGAAAAGGAGAAACAAACAAACAAGGAACGAAAACACTACTCCCAATTCATGTGGACAGGACAGAGCTGAGTCTCAGCCCAGGGAACAAATCCTATTATACTGATTGTGTATGACACAAAGCAAAAATGCCTTTTGATTCCTGGTGAATGCATTATTAGCTGAGAATACACATAAAAAGAAAATATAAAATGAAAAGGCACAAAGTTCAGTCAAGGAAGGAACACATGGATGTTTCCCTGTAAACAGGGACTGTCTGAGTTGGATGACAAAGGCAGGATGACAAATCTTACCATCTCCATTCACATCAATTCTGTCAAACACTCGGTTGGTGAACTCTTCTGCAGTAGTTTCATGGTCACCACCATTAATAGCTCGAATAGCCTGAAACCAAAGAGCAGGAATAAGAAGGTGTCTATGGCTCCCAGCAGGTCAGCAGAGGTTCAGGGTAAGACAGTCATACCCTCCCCATGCAAATGAGCCAGCAGCATAGGAAAACACTGCAGGAACCACCATGCCTTAGGGCTGGCACTGAAGGGTGAAAAGGGAGCATGGCTTTGGAGGATGGAATGAGCAGTGACACCAGAGGATCACCCTAAATCTGCCTAGGTAGAGGTTAGACACTGCAGAAGTGGCAGAATGAGGATGCACCCAATAGAGCCACTTTGGCCCACTTGGTGACCTTCTCGTCCACTGATCCCCAGGAGCACTGTCCAACACCCTCTGCACCTGACACTGTGAAATTCCTTTGTTATATGTTGTGGCCATTTGTTCCTGTCCTTGCTTTCCCAATTCCCATTTATATGCTGCTTCCTGTGTGTTTGGCTTCTCCCTAAAGCTCACTGGAAATTCATTTCCAGCTTGAGAAATTTTAAGCATTATCCACTACTGTTTGCTACAATTCTTCTTATTCAGAGCCACATAGTGCAGGGTTTCCTTCCTTTCCATGCCTAATTATTGCCTTTGTTTAAGGATGTCCATGAAATGTGTCATTCCACGACCTTTCTACTGATCCTAACACTATTAATTTTCTAGTATTTACCTACTGATATTTGTGAAGTTTCTTCTTTAGACATTAGGAAGATATTTTTTAGGGAGAGAGTGCTCAGGCATTGGAATGTGCTGCCCAGGGAGGTGGTGGATTCACCATCCCTGGAGGTTTTCAAGCTGAGACTGGATGTGGCACTTAGTGCCATGGTCTTGTAACCATGGTAGGGCTGGACTTGATGATCCATATCCAGATGAGAATGCATTACTAACATCTTATTCCTGCTTTTATTTGTGGACAGCTAAGGCTTCAAATCTTTATCAAATCAATCTTCTGACCTTTCATATTCAGAAATGGAATTTAGTTAGGGACCCTGAATCTTTCCTGCAGCTTTGCAGTTTCCCATTCTCTACAGAATAATCTGAATTTTCAGCATAATTCATTCTGAGATCACAGTGATCTTTATGCCACTAATTCCAGCTCTGTCCACAACAGCTATCTGCATGCAATCCTTTCCATTCAGTCCCTCTTCTCCAAGCTATCTGCCAGAGTTAGAAACACTTTATTACCCTGATATTTAGGAGCTGTTCTAATAAAGCAAACTGGGAGTAACTCTCCAACTTCTCATGGGGAAAAGGACACAAGAAGGACATGTTGCAGAGATGGCAACTGACAGTCACAGAGTCTGAAATCTTGGGAAGTGCAATTTGGGCCCTAGGAACAATTTGATGGAGTTAGCTATGCTGTAACATCTGCTGTGGTGCTAAAGAAGAGTCTGTCAAGTCTGCTCATTGCACTGTGAGAAGGTGGAGGGTTCTGCTCAAAGAGAGCATGGTGTGAAAGGTCTCCTCCATGATCATCCTCATGGGGAGCAGCGAAAGTCTTACTTGTGTGATTTTTTGTCTTTAAGGAAAGAGGAAAGGACACAGAGCCCTGGAGATTCACCTTGATGATGTTGAGCAGTTCATGTCGGTCTATGCAGCCGTTGCCATCCACATCATAGAGCTTGAAATACCATCTCAGCTTCTGCTCCATCTTCCCCCGGAGAACCAGGCTGAGGGCAGCCACGTATTCCATGAAGTCAATATATCCATCCTGTGGGAAAATGAGAGCCAAATGGTGACAGGAATAAACTGAGGAAGTTACAGCTCTGGAGCTGTTTTATCTTCTTGCACTTTGGCTTCGCAAGTGAAAGAGAAAAGGAAAACACTGGCACAGAGATTTGGACTTAGGGAAAAGCTTTGGCACACACACACATAGAGTCTATTTCTCTGGCCACTGAATACCTGGATTCTTAAAGTTATGATCTAGTACATGTGTAAGCTCCTCTCTACTCACCACCTGCAGTGGGGGAACCTGTCACTCCTCATGACCAGTGTGCACAAACCCCTCCCTGTCCACCAAAGCTGACACCTTTGGTTTGCTGGGAGAGAACATTGAGGTTCCTTCACTAGTCTGATTTGCCTTTGTGAGAAACTATACTATTTCACTGAGCCACAGATCTTTTCTCCATTTTCTGGAAAATAAAGTGACCGGAGATACTTGTTGAAATACATAGAACATGATTTGATCACTGGAAAAAATGTTATGTGCTTGGGTTTATAACATTCCATTTCTTAAATCTACAAAGCAACTCAAAAAGTTCTTGTTTCTTCTGCAGGGAAAGTGTCAGACTGTAAAGGTTCCTAAGCCCCAGATTTAACACTGACTAAAGTTTCAAGTGGTTTAAAAGAAACCAAGTAAAACACATCTCTCTGTCAGACTCTGAATTACTACAACAAATTACAGAGATAAAAAAAGAAACTCATTTATTGAGGTGTTTAAACAAAGTCAGATGCTGCAAGGGATGTAAATACACACCTGCAAGAGGTGAATGGAGGAGAACTAGCACAGCACTGGTGTTTTACAGCAAGGGTCATAGCATTTAAAATGTTTGTTCAGGGTGGGAAGAAGGGCAGGACAGGCTGAGAGAGTTTGGGCTGGTCAGTCTGGAGAAGAGAAGTTCCAGGGAGAACCTTCCAGTGTCTGAAGGAGGCCTACAATTCCAGGGACAACCTTCCAGTGTCTAAAGGAGGCCTACAAGAGAGCTGGAGAGGGACCTGGGACAGGAGCATGTAGTGATAGGACAAGGGGACGATGGCCTGAAGCTGAAGGAGGGCAAGTTTAGATTAGATGGTAGGAAGAAATTCTGTGAGGGTGGTGAAACACTGGCACAGGTTGCCCAGAGCAGCTGCAGCTGCTCCATCCCTGGCAACCTTCCAGTGTCTAAAGGAGGCCTACAAGAGAGCTGGAGAGGGACCTGGGACAGGAGCATGTAGTGATAGGACAAGGGGACGATGGCCTGAAGCTGAAGGAGGGCAAGTTTAGATTAGATGGTAGGAAGAAATTCTGTGAGGGTGGTGAAACACTGGCACAGGTTGCCCAGAGCAGCTGCAGCTGCTCCATCCCTGGGAGTGTTCCAGGCCAGGTTGGATGGGGCTTGGAGCCACCTGGGCTGGTGGGAGGTGTCCCTGCCCATGGCAGGGGGTGGGATGAGATGAACTTTAAAGGTCTCTTTCCACCCAAACCATTCTGTGATTTCAATTTATAAACTAACTCTACTGAAAACGTATCCTCTTTGTCCTCAGCAAAGTTCTCAGAATCTGAAGGTCCTGAGGGCAGATGATTCCACCCATCATGTCTGTATTACTAGAGGATGGTTCTTGCTCTTTAAAGCTCTTGCTTATAAAAGGAGCTTAGATTGAGTGACTATTAAGAAACTAAGATTAGCTCATGTAGGTTTATCTCCACTCGTTGCCACACTCTTACTTCACTCCCCTTTGGATCACTATCACTTTGTTTAGATTTTAGCTTTCAAGCTTTTCTGACCAAATTTGAATTTGAGAGCCTTCTTAAAACATTGTTTACCGTTTAACATAGGGTTCACAGCAGAAATCTGGAATGCACAACCATCTTGGACAAATCTTCAAGTCCTTAACCATCTCAAGAAATGACAGAGGTAAAGGGAAAGGAAGACTCGTGAGAAGAACTGTAAAGGGTCTGCCTTAGTTTATGAAAGTCCTTCTCATCACTATCATCACCCTGGGCACATAGGAAAGGATGTTCTTTGAGATTTGCAATCACTTCCAGCTATTACATCCACCACAAGCCCTGAGCTACCCCAAAGGATTCTGGCTGCTCCTCTCTTTGAGCATTTTGCAACATTCTTTAGCACTCCTTAACTCCTTATTCTGTCCCTTATGTTGTCCAACTTTGCTCAGTCTTTCCTTCTTTCCTGCTCAGGCTTTCCTTCTTCAAGACTGACCCTGTGCCTTCCCACCTGGTTCACATGCCTCTGTGACTGGATGCTCCTTGGCTCCATTTCAGAACCTTAGAGAAAAGCTGAACTTTGCCAGGCTGCCAGAACCCCAAATTTCTCTGTCCTTGGGATTCCAGGCCTGCAAGCATAGGCTGAAATACATATGGATGGAAAGCAGGCACTGCTTGCTACCTCAGAGAGAGCCAGTGGTCACCTACCCACCCCTCACTCCTGCTCCATGCCGCAGGAATTGGAGCCACAGAGCTTCTCTGCCCACTCAGTGCTAATTTCAGCTGCCAAACTGCTGGAAATTCCTCCTCTGTGAATACTGTAATAATTTCTACTGTGTCTGATTCCTGCAGCCTCTGCAATCTCATACAGACACATCTTTGAATATTAAGAACACCTAAGAATAATGAAATCTTCCTTCATTAGCATTTTGCTAGTCAAACGAGGACAAGTCAAACTACACAATATGGAACTCTCAGACTTCAAGGATGAACTTGCTCAAGGCAAGTAGATAATCAGGTGCTGTAATCATGTAACCTATGGTTACATTATCTGTGTCACTATGCACATTCAGCTGCTCCTTGTGTTTTGAGTCTTTATGTTAGAGTCCCTGAGCAGCTTTCCACAGCGGTTTGTCAGCAAAAAGCAAGGACTCCAAAAGTGCAGGAGTCAGTTCAGTTTTAAGCAGCACAAAATGGTTAATTCCTTGCTGAGAACTCACCTTGTTCATGTCAAATGTGCGGAACATCTGCTCGATGTACTTATTGGCCTCTGGATCCAGCCCTCGAAGCCCAAAGAACTGCTTGAATTCATGCTCTGTCAGCTGCCCAGAAGGACACTCTGTCATGAACTTCTTGTACCAGTGGTGGATCTCAACAGCCTGCAGGTCATCCACTGTGGAGCTGCCGTTGTTTCCCATGTGTATCTGTGGTCAGAGGAGCCCAGGAATGCTCCTCTTCCTCCTGTGGCTCTCTCAGCACTGCCTGTCTGCTCCTGACCACGTTCCACACTAATGGCAGTTACGTGAGGGATCTAACTTTCCACAAGCCAGTTATAAACATTAATCAGCTTAGAGGCTGATCTACAAACCAGCAAGTTTTCAGTGATACAAACAGTCTTCTTAGAGTGGAAAGGAGATGCAAGATAATCTAGCAAATCATTGCTATATATGGAGCTAAGCCAGAAAGGCTGATAAGGTTAATCAGACAGGGGCATCAGGAGCCATAGTGGTTGGCAGACTGCACTATTTTTAACCTTGCTATCATTATACATGAAGATAAGAGGAAACAGGTACGAGATGTGAGGTGAAGTAAAGATCTGTTCCTCTAACTGGATTTGAGAGTGTTTTCTCAACCAGAACTGTTGGATAACTGAGAGTGTAGGACCCAAACATGTGACAGAAGTGGCGCAGTGTGAGAGTGAGGCTATGTGGGACAGAGCTCACAGAGGGGCACAGAGGTACAGTGGGGGAGCTCAAACCATCCCCCCAGCCTGGCTAATCCCAGAACCACACCAGAGGTGCAGTCAACCCATGAAAGGCTCATCTGTACAAAGAGGAAGGAGCAAAGAGAAATGACCACAGGCCAAGGAATCCAGATAACCCAGTGAGAGAAATGAAGGTCCTGTCCCAGCTCCCTCTGAGGCTGTCACAGGGGAGTCACCAGCCCCATGGGCTGAGAGGTGACATCTGTCAAAGCAGGAGAGGCTGTCAGAGTACCTTAGACCGAGTGGGAACTGCCTGGGGGCATGGAAACACTGTGGGGTGCAGGGGAAGAGCATTGGGGACTGCACAATACTCACAGTGGGATGTTTAGGGGAGGAAGGAAAGCTGGGGAAAGGAATGGGTTTAGGTGGTTTGGGGCTGGTTGCATGTGTAAAGGTGCTGTGCCTGATCAGCACAGTCTCTTCTTCTTCTTCTAACAATTATAACTTTTTTTTTCTTTTCTTTTTTTTTTTTTTTTTGGTGTGGCTGCACGGCCCTATGCTCTGCATCATTAATCTAGATCTAATTACAGAAAAGGAAAGAAAAGTAATGTAGGTCAAGTACTTCTATAGGAGAACACATTGCACTGGAAGCAATAATCCAATTAAAATTGCAACCCACACACTTTGTTCTTGTGCCTGTTCTGGTGATACACTCACCTGCCTGCTGCTCCTCTGGGCACTGAGATCTGTTCACCTATCTGCTGCTCCTCTGAGCACTGAGATCTCTGTTCAATAGGATGTTTGCAGGGAGAAGGGAATGTCATGGCAAGTCATCAGCATCCTTTGCCCTTTACTGGGAGGAATGTGATGCTCTTGGTAATGGTTTCCTCATCCTCTCTTCTTTTTCTTTCTTTTCCTTTCTTCTCTTTACTTCCACTTAGGCTCATGTGTGTGTTAGAGGTGTAAATATCTCATCCTACGTAGAATAACTGCTGCTAATAGTATCTGTATAAACCCATGGTTCTACCACGCGAGGATAAATAAGTAAAATAAATTAGCCATAGACACTTGACACTAGAGAAAGTGCATTCACTGCTTGTCCAAGTGAATAGAGCTGCTGGCAGATTGTAAGGAATTCAGAGCAGGCCTGGCAAGCCTTGGTGTTGAGATGCATGGAAGGGGGTGGACTGGTTAATTAGGTTGGACATCAAGAGGAATTTCTCCATGGAAAGGGCTGTCAGACATTGGAATGTGCTGCCCGGGGAGGTGGTGGAGTCACCATCCCTGAAGGTGTCCCAGGAAGGACTGGAGGTGGCACTCAGTGCTCTGGTCCAGCTGACAAGGTGGTGATGGGTCACAGGTTGGACTCGATGGTCTCAGAGGTCTTTCCCACCCAACCTTGATGATTCTGTCTGTGATCCTTAAAGGTCTGACCAAACCATTCTGCAACTGGGCCCCATTTCGGGCACTGCCCAGCAGGGAGTGAGAATGAGAGTAAATGGGAGAGAGTGAACATGGAAGTGAATGAGTACAGGTAGGAGCGAACACGGGTGGAAGTGAAAGCGGGTGGGAGTGAATGAACACAGGTGGGGGTGAATGAACACGGGTGGGGGTGAATGAACACGGGTGGGGGTGAATGAGCCCGGGTGGGGGTGACTGAACACGGGTGGAGGTGAATGAGCCCGGGTGGGGGTGAATGAACACGGGAGGGAGTGAATGAGGCTGGGTGGGAGTGAATGAGCCCGGGTGGGGGTGAATG